CGGGAAGGGCGGGGAGGGGGAGAGGGAGGAACAGGAGAAACTGTCTAGGAATCTCAGCAAGGTAGGGGGACAGCGGGGATACGGGGGAGGGAGAGGGGAGGGGTTCACTCCTGCTGCTGCTGCTGCTGCTGCTGCTGCTGCTGCTGCTGCTGCTGCTGCAGGTGCGCAGCACGCTGCGGCAGTTCGTGCGCGACTGGGCGGAAGAAGGCGCGGAAGAAAGAGAAGCAGCCTACGGCCCGCTGCTACGCGCACTCGAGGAACACCTCCCCATCACCCCGGGACAGGACCCACCGAGGTAGGGTTTAGGGTTTGAGAGGGTTTAGGGTTTAGGGTTTGGGAGGGTTTAGGGTTTAGGGTTTAGCACGGGTTAGGGTTTGGGGCTTGCAGGGTTTTGTGTCCGGGCTCGGGTTTGGGGCGGCTGCCGTTCGAAGTCATGCGCAAGGGCTACGCGTGCCAGGGCAACGAGTTCTCCTACTTCATGCTCATCGGTGAGACAAACAACCCAAACCCTAAACCCTAAACCCTAAACCCTAACCAGTTCGTGAACCCTCCTGCTGCTGCTGCTGTTGTTGTTAGGTTCGGACTTTCTGCTGAACTCCCGCTTGACCCCCAAGTCTTTGCCGCTGCAGCCGTACTGCCTCTCGACGTCCAACAGGTGCAGTTTTAAACCATTTCATTTATTTCTTTCTTTATTCCATTTATTTTATTTATTTTAATTTAATTAAATGCATTTAATTTAATTTAATTTAATTTAATTTAATTTAATTTAATTTAATTTAATTTATTTAAATAATTTAATTTATTTTATTTCGATTTCAGAAGATCCCAAACAGACCACCTGGATGTCGTTTGGGTCCCCGACGTGGCGCCCAGCGAACACGTGGGCCCTTCCGCAGACTTCTCCATGTGCGCAGGAGAGTTCGTCGAGGTGCGAGGGTTTAGGCTTTAGGGTTTAGGGTTTAGGGTTTAGGGTTTAGGGTTTGGATGTCCGTACACCTGCGAGCTGGCTGGCTGTGTGCGAATGGGGTGTACGTACACCTGCGAGCTTGCTGGCTGTGGGCGAATGGGGTGTACGTACACCTGGGAGCTGGCTGGCTGTGTGGGAATGGGGTGTACGTACACCTGCGAGCTGGCTGGCTGTGGGAGAATGGAGTGTACGTACACCTGCGAGCTTGCTGGCTGTGGGGGAATGGGGTGTACGTACACCTGGGAGCTGGGGTTGCGGTGTCTGTACACCGCGCAGGTGTACGGCAACCCGTCGACTTCGCTGCCGTCTTCGTCGCGGGTCTTCGACGGAGTTTTGACTTCTTTCTTTTTGGACACTGCGCGAAATGTGCTCCTTTACATCAAAACCATCGCCCGCATAGTCCGGCCCCGCGGCCTCTGGGCCAACGTGGGGCCCCTCCTCTACCACTACGCGGAAATGCCCCACGAAATGTGCGTCGAGTTCTCCGCAGAAGAAATACTCGCAGGCAAACCCTAAACCCTAAACCCTAAACCCTCAATGTAGTCGCCCTAAACCCGCAAACATAAACCCGGAATCCTAAACCCGAAACCCGGAATATCTGAACCCCAAACCCTAAACCCTAAACCCAGAAACTCAAACGCTCAACCCGGAATCCTAAACCCTAAACCCGAAAACCTAAACCCTCAACCTGGAACCCTAAACCCTAAACGCGGAATAGTAAACCCTAAACCCTAAACCCAGAACGCGGAACTCACAAATCTCAAATCCGGAAGCCTAGACCCTAAACCCTCGACTCTAAACCCTAAACCCTAAACCCTTGGCTCAAGT